ACATTTAATTGTTGTTAAGGGCGGCTAAACCTAATTTAGCAGCCATATTTATTTACAAGTTGTTTAAGTGCGGATAATTCTAACTTAGCAGCCATATTGTGTTTACATTTCAAACTTAGAAGTTCAGTGAATTAAGTCATTTTCTGCACATCAGTGTCTTTTTGCCGAGTGGAACTAAAAGTAAACTTTCAGTTTTGTGCACCGAAAAATCTGCCTTCTTGCCTGCTGGCCGGAATGCTTGTTTTTGAGCAGGAACTCTAATTTTAATTGTAAAAATTGTTTTAACTGTATTTGGTGTTTTATGATTTTTATATTTTTCAAGTTTTAATGAAGATATTTTGAGGTTTTATGTATTTTTTCCTTGCCGCGAAGTAAGAACTGAACTAATTGAATGAGAAATATATCTGTAATGAAATTCCAGAAAATAATTTTAAATAAAATGCAGCAAAAAATGTGTATAATTTAATAGGCCGTACAAGAAAGTCATTTTTTGAAACTGCGATGTTACGGTTCTAAAAAATTTGGAGTTAGGTGAAAACGTACCAGGCTTATTCTCAACTTACAGGTAAGTAAGGTTTTTCAATAAAATCGTATAAGGTTAAAAACTTTTTCTTTTGTTTTCTTTATTTTGTCGTATTTAACATCCAGTGCTGGAACCTGCTGCAATCAGGTGAGTACGAAATAGTATCTAGTGATGAGAAAATTTTGAGTTTTACTCATGACATTTATGATAGGATACCCGACATCTTTTGAAGAGAGACTGCCTCAAACCTCAAATATACACTCATGTCCATAAATTAAGGATAATTCGGAGTCACGCGGAAATCGAACTTTAAAATAAATATATCACCTGTAAAATCACTACACACATCTTCAAGAGTCATATACAAATTTCAGGAAGTAACCAGATGACACCGATGGAACGTCACAATCACGAGAGTGTAATAGAGTGATATATAAGGAATACAGCCAAAGAAGTAAAATTGTTCGCAGGCGCTTTATAAGCATTTCAGTGCAATAACCGAATAGTTATGACACAAAGGACGCATTTGGATGATTTTTTACGTGGTAGAATTATCGGCCGTCTGGAATGTGGGCGTACCCAACTGGAAGTATCAGACGAACTTGGAATTGCCCAGGAGTGTCATCTCCAGGCTTGGCAACGATTCCAAGATGATGGTAATGTGAGTAGACGTTACAGCACAGGTCGCCCCAGAGTTACAACGCCGAATGAGGACCGGTATTTGGCAGTTAGGCGGAGCACAGCCAGCATTCTCACCGAATTTGAATCCAGTAGAGCACGTGTGGGACATGCTTGGCCGACGAGTTGCAGCCCGTCAACCTCCTCCTACATGTCTACCGGAACTTCGGAGAGCATTGCTTTTTGAGTGGTGTAATATCCGCCAAGATCAGATCGATAATTTGATACTCAGCGTGCCTAGGCGTTGTACGGACTGTATTGCACCGTCTGGGAGACATACAATGTGTTAACAATCATACCAATCATGTAATATTGGTTTTTTGTAAATAGGTTTTTTTTTTGTAATTTGCTCCAGGGAGAAAAAATCGTGATTTTTTTTAATAATATCAAATAGCATCTTATTTTCCTCTTTACCTTTTGTTTAATAAATAAGCTTCACAAATAGTCAAATTTGTTTTGCTTCTAACTCTTCCTTTGCCTGATTTTGCATTATCCTTAATTTATGGACATGAGTGTAAATTACGTTTGCCAGTTTATGCAGGCGCGCGCCATTTTAAACGCCGTTTTCTTGAAGTTGCCGGTGTTTGAGAAATTCAACTTTTTGCACCTGCGTATTTCTTCACACTTGCTTGATCACGCGTGAAATTTTCATGGCGATTGTTGTTCGAAATCTTTCTATTTCCATAATGTAATCCCATGAATCAATCAAATAATTTTCATACATTCATCACCTGTATTTCTTCATATTTTTGTACAGAATTATCCATATCAGACTTCTTTAACTTTCATTATACACTCGTGTCCATAAATTAAGGATAATTCGGAGTCACGCGGAAATCGAACTCTAAATAAATATATCACCTGTAAAATCACTACACACATCTTCAAGAATCATATGCAAATTTTAGGAAGTAACCAGATGACACCGATGGTACGTCACAATGACGAAAGTGTAAGAGAGTGATATATAAGGAATACAGGCAAAGAAGTAAAATGTTCGCAGGCGCTTTATAAGCATTTCAGTGCAATAACCGAATAGTTATGACACAAAGGACGCATTTGGATGATTTTTTACGTGGTAGAATTATCGGCCGTCTGGAATGTGGGCGTACCCAACTGGAAGTATCAGACGAACTTGGAATTGCCCAGAGTGTCATCTCCAGGCTTTGGCAACGATTCCAAGATGATGGTAATGTGAGTAGACGTTACAGCACAGGTCGCCCCAGAGTTACAACGCCGAATGAGGACCGGTATTTGGCAGTTACTGCCAAAAGAAACAGGTGGAGCACAGCCTGAGACCTGTCTCGTCAGCTCTCTTCAGCCACTGGTACGACAATTTCAAGGCAGACCGTGTACAGACGCTTAGGGCAGATTGGTTTATATGTTCGTAGACCTGTCAGATGCGTTCCACTTACTGCAACTCACTGTCGCCTGCGGTTAGCCTGGAGTAGAGAGCATGCACTGTGGACACCGCAACAGTGGGCTTGTGTGATGTTTTCCGACGAGTCCAGGTTTAGCTTGCAGTCTGATTCTCGCCGGACTTTCATATGGAGAGCTCCAGGTATTCGTTACCACCAAGAAAGCATCATTGAACGACACCGTTACGGTGGTGTAGGAGTGCTCGTTTGGGGTGGAATTATTCTGGGTTCCAGAACTGACCTTCATGTTCAAATTGGAATCATGACAAGCCAAATCTATCGGGACGTCATTCTGGAACAACATGTACATTTGTTTCGGGGTGCCATGGGCACACAATTTGTGTTTATGGATGACAACGCCCGTCCTCACCGTGCAAATATCGTAAGCGAATGCCTTCAATCGGAGGATATCACCCGTACAGACTGGCCAGCATTCTCACCAGACTTGAACCAGTAGAACACGTGTGGGACATGCTTGGCCGACGAGTTGCAGCCCGTCAACCTCCTTCTACATGTCTACCGGAACTTCGGAGTGCATTGCTTTTTGAGTGAGTGTGTAATATCCCCCAAGATCAGATCGATAATTTGATACTCAGATGCCTAGGCGTTTGTACGGACTGTATTGCATCGTCTGGGAGACATACAATGTATTAACAATCAACCAACCATGTAATATTGGTTTTTTGTAAATAAGTTTTTTTTTTTTTTTTTTTTTTTTTTTTTTTTTTTTTTTTTGTAATTTGCTCCAGGGAGAAAAAAATCGCTAATTTTTTTAATAATATCAAACATATAGCATCTTTTTTTGCTCTTTACCTTTTGTTTAATAAATAAGCTTTACAAATAAGTCAAATTTGTTTTGCTTCTAACTTTTCCTTTGCCTGATTTTGCATTATCCTTAATTATGGACATGAGTGTAAATCTAAATATAATGCTAACAGTACAAAAAAGGTAATTATATAAGCAACAAGAACAATTAACAATTTAATCATAAAACTTCATGAATAAAAAACAACACATCAACTGATTTATATTCTAAACAAATCAAGTTCAAATCATTTAAATTTTTTAATACCAGAAAATTGTAAGAAAAAACATATCAATATTAAATAAAAATTATTCAATGAAATTAAATAAACATTTGATAATATTTATGAGAAATTATGTAAATTTATGCATATTCAACATACAAAAAATTAAAAAAATTCTAAACGAAATAGTATACGGTATACTAAATTTAAGTAAAACATTACTTTACAGATTTAGAGTTCCAAGAATTACAAAAATTGGATTTGCCTTCGAAGTCTCTTAGGAGCTTTTACTTCGCAGAAAAGAACTTACATCACGTCAGGTGTTATTCTATTAATTATTTATATTAGATTTATTGCCATCTTCGATTAACACAATACCACCAGTTTCTAAATTGTCATGAAAATTGGGATTCTTCAATCGAAAGACAGAATAAAATTTGGATAACTCTAAATTTATCGGACATCCCTCTGATCTGCTGTGAAGAAGTCCAGTATTATGCAAATAAGTTTTAAGAACTTTCTTTTAAATAGCCTTTACCTGCGACTTACCAATATTTTTTTTTTATTTATTAGGATTCTATTTACATCAATAGTATTACCCATAAGCATTTTGTTTTGTTTCGTTTTAAGAATCACATCTGGTAAAAATAAAAATTCTTATAAGAGATCTGAATTCGAAACAGAATTTATTTGCGTATATTCACGGGTGCACCGAATCTTTTAAAAATAGGGGTTTTGGTGTAAATCGCTGAAGACGGTATACAATTATGTATTTTAAAGAGCGTCTTTTTCATCTGGCTGAAGTACTAAAAATTTCATAGTTTAATATACATACAAAATAATACGAATAAGGGACTACGGAAAATAGAAAAATTCATTTTTCGAAGTTGAAACAATTATTTTAAAAATCATTAGTGAAGCAAAAGTCTTAAAAAAAAGGGGGGAAAACGTAAAACTTGCAAAACAGACATCATTAACATTATTTTAAGGTAAAGATAAGTTTAAAAATTTATAAAATGTAAATGATAATGTGTTTTATTTCATTTTTCACGTTTTTCTCAAAAAATGAGTTTTTTATTATTTACATGCATATTTATAAAATACTATCTATCAATTAAGCTTGAAATTGCGTTTCGTAATGAGCTTGACATTGCATTTATATTTTACAAAGCATGCTTTCATTTTTTTTTTTTTTTTTTTTTTTTTTCCGTGTATTGAAAATACATTGCAGCCATGAACTTTACCTTTAAGAAAGGAAAGAGGTTACTACATGGCATCTGAATTAAAAAACATAACAATGTGTTTACATTGCAACATCAAATAAGTTTATATAAAAATTTAAACAATACTCACGATATTGTGGGAAACTGAAGCGCAAAACTCATTCGCTGCACCTAAGTATCCTCGCTATTTTCGTCTGGCGTTGCAATCGCGACCTCTTCAAAGTGAAAGAAGAATTTTGACACCGAACTTTCCTGTTCTAGCGGATGGATCCTACTATTGGTCAGAGAGAAACTATTTGCGTTTTCTTTCTCTTTCTTGAGTGATTACGTAATGCATTTCGTTATTCGTCCATTGTAGACTGCTTACAATTTTAAAAAAATAATGGGTAAAGTAGGGTAAAGTAAAAGAATTCATTAATAGTTTAAGTGTCTAAGAGATAGAATATCTAAATTTACGTTAAGACTTTATTATTTATTTGGGAGACACCAAGTGTTTGTCCTTTTCGTCATTTTCAATGAAAATATAAAGCGTATTTTACTTTATAACGCGATAATAAATCAATCGTATAAATGATAAAAGAAAATCTTTCTTGTGATTTACGACCAGCTACCGATGAATTAAAGATGAATAAACCGATTTGTAAATTTAATGGACCCTGTCTGAAAATGTTAAACTTCTGTTTGTTGGGCCCATCAGCGGCCGAGTGGTAAAGTTACTGAACAATGTTTGTTCGGTACGAGGTTCGAATCCCACGAACGGGCTGGCTGCATGGGTGTTTGCTTGGTTATCTCCATGTGTAACATATATACGAGCCAGTTCTCTTAGAAAGTTCTTGACGAAGGCATTCCTCCCCCTTACGCAGATAGTCCTCGAGGCTTTGTCGTAATCCCACAAATTAAAATCAAATCATCTGCTTACTGCTTACTGCAGAATGATGCAAGTATTCATCTACAAACCACCATTAAAAAAAAAAAAAAAAAAAAGAAATCTAATGTGTACGCCACATGACTTCCTTATACGGAAAGTTAAATTTACACGCATTTTCTCCTGCATTTAATTCAAACTTGTTTCCTTAATTCAGTGCTCACTTCGCGACAAAGCAAGTATACATAAAAACTCAAATTATCGTCATTAAAAATTGAAAGATATAGAAAAACATAAAACACCAAATACAGTTAAAACAATTAAAGAAACAGTTTTTTACAATTAAAATTACAGTTTCTACGCAAAAAGAAGCAATTCGGCCAGCAGACAAAAAGGCAGATTTTTCGGTGAACAAAACTAAAGTTTGGTTTTGGTCCCACACGACAAAAGGCACTGAAGGTGCAGAAAGATTTAATTCACTATTCTGCTAAGTTTCTAATATAAACAAATATGGCTACTATGGTAAATCAAATTAGGCTTAGCTGCACTTAAACAAATTTTAAATTATTGATAATTCTACAACTAGTGCATGCAGATTAACTAAAGGCGTAAAAACTTCATCCGGAAGATAAGAACAACATAATTACATCATTTTAAAGCAAAAAAATGCACAATTTACCAACATATAAGATTAAAAACCTGAGCTCACTGAGCCGAGTAATAGAGTGGGTATATATATGTAAGATAAAAATGTATGAATCAGAATTATAATATAACTATAAACATTAATTCTTCCTCTCTATTCTAAAATCGTAATAACTTATCTGCATTGCATCATTCAAATTAATCATGCGATCTTACGTAACCGTTAATACCATATGCCTCTTGACGACCAATCACCGAATTGTAAACCAAAACTTTTCTCTTCGCGTGCTTTCATCTTTCATAACGACGCACTTCAGCTTTAGCTCTCTACTGTGCTAAGATGTAATTTCGCTGGCTTGCTTTCTATCTCAACAATATTAAAAATGTAAATCTTCTGTGTAAAGGCACGATTAGAGTGCCAAGTGATTGTGGCCACATATATCAATAGGAAATAAAAATGGAATTAAAACTGCTTCGACTGCCATGTTCTTTAGATATTACCAAGTTAGCATTACTAGCATACTACGCAATCAAATTCTTCTTCAGTATGGGTCTAATCACGCATCGACACTGCTCCGGCTTTTCCTTTGCTCTTATTATGACATATATTTATATATCTTGGGTAAGGCCGATGGCAACCAAACGGGAGGTGCACGATTTCATGTTATAGCAGTCCTAAATACAAAATTTCAACGTTTTGAGGCTATTCAATTTTGAGTTATGAGTGATACATGCATACATACGTACGTACGTACAGGCGCCACAAAAAAAAAAAAAAAATCTCCTTTGAATGAATTTAGAATTAGTTTTATAATTCCTTTGGGGAAAGAGAGTACTTTATTCTCTCCTTAGGCACAGGTGTCACTGCGTCAACTTAGTGACTTGGTGGAGCTATTGGAAAATTGGAACTCGCAAGAAGATACAGAATTTAATTTAGAAAAGACTTGTGCAATGTTTTTTCCCGCGGGGTGGTAGAGTTACTCGACCTCCCAAGTTAAAATATAATGCTAAACGATTAAAGTTCGTTGAAAAGATGAAATACCTCGGTGTTATTATCGATACGAAATTAACTTTTTTGGATCATTTAAAGGATGTATAAAAAAGAACTGATGGTATTTTGAAATATTATTGCAATACTTTTACTGCGGAAACTCTTGCAAAGAAGAGCTCTACTTTGTTGTTTATTTTTTAAAATGTAGTAATTCCAATTGTTATGTATGGCATTGGCGCATGGGGCTACAGAGCGGGGGGGGAGTTGTGAGAATTAGACAAAAATTAGGTACAATAGAGAGAGGCTGGATGCTTGAGGCTACTCATGCTTTCCGGAATATTTCAACGGAGGTGGCTTGCCGATTTCCACACCCCTCTCTTATATCAATACGGCTTTTTCTATAACAAATTTTTAATGAAAAAAATATATTACATCATTAGAAATATCTAATATAGAACTGAAAACCGATGTCTTTGAAGAATGTCTTGAATTGATTCACCCTGCAAATAAATTTGGACTAAATTTTGATCGATTATTATGTACTGTAAATGAGTATGATATTTATACTGATGTTCGGGCCTAGGAGGAAACGTTGGTTGCGCATTTGTAGTGTACTACTACGGATCTGAGATTGACCACAAAAAAATTATTATTAAACTTCACGAATACAGTGTACCAGGCTGAATTATATGCAATACTTTGACCGGGATCGAAAATAAATTATCTGGTGGTCAATGTGTTCACATATTTTCTGATGCACTAACGCCCTTGCAATCACTTTCTGCGCTTGGGTTTGATAATAAACTTATTGTGAATATTAAAATGAAATATAGAATTTTAAGTACAAAATATAATATTAAAATACTGTAAAGTCCCCTTCTCTGAAGAACGCTTGGTCACCCGCATTAAAAGAAGGAAGAGAACCTTCTTCTTGCCTCGGCCGGAAGAGGGGAGCGGGCTTTACCCCTGGTCGCAGGTGGGAGTAAGAAGAGATGTGGAAGAGAAAAGAGTGGAAGCTGGTTGTGCTACTGTAATGAAAATGTATTTGTTTTTCTAAAATGTACATAGTTGTACATATAAGTATCTGTACATAGTTGTATATGTAAGTAAATACTTAACCTAGAACAGGTCTTGTTTATTTGATGGAGATACGACTATGGAACAATATATAGGATCAAGGCACATGTAGGTTTCCATGGTAATGAGAGGGCTGACGCACTGGCAAAAGAAGCCACACTTGGCAACTAAAAAAATTAAACTGCAGGGCTCTGGAAGAAACCTATTGGAATTTTATGCAATAGTATATATGAAAAATGGAAAAACAATTGGGATTTCTTGGAAAAAAAATTATTATATGCGTATTATACAGATTTATAAGAGAAGAAAGTGCTACACTTATATACATCTGAATCAGGTTTTTGACGGGACATGGACGTTTTCCCATGTACTTAAATAGATTTGCCCTGCAGGAAAACAATCTTTGTTGGCTATGTAGAGTAAGAGGTGATAATGTTTACTTCGTTGAAACCTGTACCCTGCCTGCTAGTATTAGAGATAAAATGAAAAACGAATTTCCAAAAAATCTTAAGGATTATAGTAAAATGCCACTTTATTCCAGGGAAATAATGAATATTATCAACACGCACAGAGGTACTTCGCTGGAGTGGATGTGTGAATGATGAGTATCTGTTAGCTTTTTTTGTGTGTGTTCTTTTATTACATGTTCAACTGCTTCTTCTTCTTTTTTTTTTTTTTTTTTTTTTTTAAGTTCGTTTTGTCGGGCTGGCCTCTAAAAGCTTTATGGCTGAATGAATTTATCGACCGGGGGAGCGGGGTGCTTCGCTTTTGTAATAACATAGTAATAGGTGTCACTGCAAAAACATCCTTAAATTGCATTCGAGAGCGGTTAAAAGGGATATTTTCGTTGAAATATGAAACCCGGAATTTTTGGTGATTACAATACTTCCTTTGCTTCGTACAGGGAAGTAAAAAGTCTAGGAAATACACAAAAAGGGAAGGAATAAATGCGTGGGATGTCAGAAGAGCTAGCAGGCGTCGTAGATTTGAAAGCTGTTTCTGTTCGTTGACAGAATATAATTAAATCGTACATTGTGGGGAATATGTAAACATTGTACAATAAAAGCAAAAGCTCCAACTTAGTATTTTGGGTGAGCTAGAACACAATGATGTGTAAATTCTTTTGTAAATACAGTAAAACCGATGAACGCGGAGGTTACGCCTTTGCACATAGTGCGTACGGCACAGTTGAATTCCGCAAAATTAACTTCGCATAGAAAAATTGCGTTAGGTATAATTCCTGTTAAGAAAGTTTTGTATAATTTAAAACAAATTTAAATATTGTTATAATTAAAAGGTGAAAATGAAACCAAATGTTAACTGAAAGGAGTGTTATGAATGCTTAGAAAAGTAAGGGATATGATTATTTTTTAAAAAAAGGTGGTGGTTGGGTCAATAAATGACGCAACTCTTTAAAACGTTTCGGGGTAAAGGGGGGGAGCACAGTCTTTCGATGCCCTTCACAGTGTCCTCTTCTTTCTTCGTTTGGGTCAATCTGCAATGCAAACTCAAGCAGTTTATGGGTCTTTTTTAACAATTTATTTCGCTTTTTGAACGTTAATTTCGAATTATCTTCTTTATTATAACTGCTTTCACTGTCAGCTGATGTTGTAAGATTATTCAGGTCGTTATTCGTGCCTTCTCGATTAATTCTTTTACTTCTCCATGTTTCGTATCTGGAGCT